TAATTATTGTGACATGCCAGTGACGAGGCTATAATTAAGATACCTGTTATATAAGGCAAGTTGGACTTATGCCTTTCCCATGTCAATTGTTATGAAAGCTGGATATGTATTTAAACCAAAATTCGCCCTCTGCAGAATTCACATTTTGGGAGAACACATATGAACACACAAATATAAATGTACACATATATGTTTGTATTGATATGGATGGATGCATATATATATATATATATATATATATATATATATATATATATATATATATATATATATATATATATATATATATATATATGTATGTGTGTGTGTATATATATATATATATATATATATATATATATATATATATATATATATATATATATATATTCATTTATATATATCAGAAAAACAAAATTTATTTCAACACAATTTATTATTAGCGAGACAATATATATTACTTAAGCATAGGAAAGTTTAGTTTTAATTTAACTTTTTTCGTTTTAGAAATTAATTTAAATAATTACAACTAGGTTTATACATGTATATATATATATATATATATATATATATATATATATATATATATATATATATATATATATAAACCTAGTTGTAATTAGGTAAAATTGATTTTGTAAAACAAAAGTAAAAAAAAGCTATTCGTTCGGTTAAGGTGAATCACGTTTTATGTCACAATGAATATTTTGTTGCAATAAAATTCGTTTTTCTGATACGAAAATATAATTGTATTTTTATTTTCATTCAACCTTTTTATATATATATATATATATATATATATATATATATATATATATATATATATATATATATATATATATATATTTGAGAGAGAGATGTATGTACGTATATGTATATATATATGTATATGTATGAAAGTGCATTCCATTTACTCATTACTCATTATATATATATATATATATATATATATATATAGAGAGAGAGAGAGAGAGAGAAAGAGAGAGATGTATGTAGGTATATATATGTATATGAAAAGTACACATTGAAGTCAACACCAAGATGCGACAATCTATTTCATGCTAAACGCAATCGTCGGGCTATATATTTACATACGCTTCCTGATATTGAGCACTTTAATCAATGAATATAGCATACTACAAAACTATTTTATATATATGTGTGTGTGTGTGTGTGTGTGTGTGTATGTGTGTGTTTGTCTGTGTGTATATATTTGTGTGTATATATATTTTATATTTTATATATATATTTTATATATATATATATATATATATATATATATATATATATAAAGGCGTCTGTGCATTGCCTGCGCGTGTGTGTGAGAGATATATTTGATCAGTAAGTATACATTCAAACTAGTTTTGTTAACATTAACCGAAAAGGTTTTGTTTTTTTTTTCTTGTATTTTTCCAATTTTCGAATATGCTGTGGACATCAGGAGAGACATTTTTTCGGTTATTTTTTTATGCAATTTCGACCGTTTCAGTTATTATCAAGAACGAGGTATTATCAGTGTCATAGAAACGCTTATACATATATATATAGAGAGTGAGGGGGGAGAGAGGAAGAAAGAGAGAGAGAAGGGGAAGAGAATGAGAAAGAAAGTTGTAGAGAAAAGAGAGTGAGTCGAGATGTTCCTCAAATATTTGAAGAGCTAAATTACTTAAACCATATTACTCAAGGAAACAAAAAATATTGATAGGAAATTAATTTCATTTCTTTTGGGAATGATTTCCAAAGATGCGAGACACGGAAAACTTAGCAGATAGATGAAAGCATTAGTCAACCTGAACCTTGACAAAGATCTGCACCAATGGACATGGCCGACCAGATACATCTTGTCCACCTCCAGACACACTCATCTTAACACATTAACGCGTATCCTTGCGGGCAAGCGCCTGCAAGCCGTTATCCACACACCAAAGATTTGTGAACATGCCGAAAGATAAGTCAAAACTTCCTCCACGCGCCTACACATGTGCGTAGGGGTTAGAAGGTAACTTATAGAAAGAATAATAATTATATTGAACTTGATATAAGAGAGGGAGACAGAGGAAATATGTTTGGGTAAACGTGTTACAGAGAGAGAGAGAGAGAGGTGAAGAGAGGAGATAAGTGAAAGGAAGAGAAAGAGAGAACGGATATCCTAACCAAACAGAAGATGTCGTTTAAGGTGAGTTCGCTTCGTTGTCTTGTCTTACAATTTCAATCGAGAATGTCGGCTTAAAGTTCCGCTCTTCTCACCAAAAGTAAAATTATAGTTTTACGCCCTCATTGCCTTATGACAAAGTAAAGTTGTATGTACACGTGTGTGCGTCTTTGTATGTGTAAACGCGTTTGTTTTTAATTTAGATTAATTTGCATACATAGATGTTACAAGCTTTTTTTTGTCGATATTTAATTATTTAATAATGTTTGCATTCTTTCTATCTACTAACCTATAATATTTCTTGGTGATCTTTTATGTTTCAGTCAGACATTTTGAATAAAACTATCTATTAATCACTTAATATCATAATATTCATATCGAGCTGTCTCTGTTTCAAGTTGTTCGCATCTATCTATCACAGTCTATTCAATATCTATCTATCTATCTATCTACCTATCTATCTATCTATCTATCTATCTATGTCTTCATGTCTATCCGTATTCATATCAATCTATATCTCAGTCTGTTCATGCCTATTTATCTATCTCAATCTATCCATATCTATATATCTATCTCGGTCTGCTCATACCTATCTACTTATCTATATCAGTGTTTACTGTTCATATCTATCTATGAATATAGATAGATAGATAGATAGATAGATAGATAGATAGATAGATAGATAGATAGATATCTGTCTGTCTCAATATGAATCTGCCTTCTCGTGTTTCTTAGATGCCTGTGCAAAAGTTCACAGCCTTCTTTCGGGAAAATTAGGGATTGAATACACGCTTAAAATACACACTTTTTTACTGGAACCTTTTGTCTATCTGTTGATGTAGCTCTCCAAAAGCTTCGTATGGTTGTCGTTCCACCTACGCATTCTTATAGTCACCAATGTACTAATAAATTCTAAAGGAGCAATATAAATATATTCTTAAATTACCTCCCTATAAAAATCTGATTACAAATAAATTACTTTCTCCCTGAATCAAACAATTTTGACTTTGGTATTTGTTTCTTTTCGTCATTAAAATGATTCCTCATCCAACTCTTCATCCATTTTTAGGCATCCATGCATCTTACTTAAATAAAACTCCAATCAATCGATCTATCTCAATTATTATACCCTTTTTTAATTCTTCTATATTAATATCGATCTGGCAATTTCTTTAATTCCAATCAACCAATCTTATTCAGTTAAATTTATCAATCAATCATTTTAAACAGATTTGTGATAAAAGAAATCTGTCTTTTTTTATATTCGCATAAAATCGATTTTTTTATCTATCTATCTATCTACCTAACAACCAATCAACCAATAATCTTATCTCAGTTAAATTTCTATCTATCATCTATCATCTGATTTCTAATCTCACTGATGCATTCATCTATCTGTCTATCATCTAAAATCTCAAATCATCTTTTTTCTATCTTAATCTATCTAATCATCTGTTCAAATCTATTTTCTTCTATCTTTGCTTCTTTCTTAATCAATCTGTATCTATCTATCATCTATCATTATCTATTTATCTATCTATCTATATTTATATATATATATATATATATATATATATATATATATATATATATATATATATATATCAGTCTATTCAGGGCTTATGGTCACATCAGGTTGAAATACAGTTTAAGCAACGTCGAGCCTGGTCAACATCTAGCTGAGTAAACTTGGGAGTACTTGAGGTACTGTGAGTTTGCCTGTGGGGTGGTGTAATGAATAAAGGCTCAGAATTGTTAATCGGAGAGCCGAGTTCCAATTCCAGTTGGGTTCGTTATATTCACTTACGCACAAATACCCTTCGAAAAGGTATGAATTCACCTATTTTCCGCAGTTATGGGTTAATTATCAAGGGTCGACAAGCCGTAAAAAACGAATAAGTCAATCAGTAAATTCAATATCTATCTATCTATCGTGCTTGCTTAATAAGCAATTTCACTTTATGTCCTCATCGGATCAAAGCAAAGTCAGGCCGCAACATAATCTTCCTACTCATCTTTATTTGAACTTGTGTCACACTTGACTCAGTGCTGTGTTCCAAATCCACTTGGGTTTGTCATGTTCATTTACGCCCAATTACGCTTGCAAAAAGTATGAATTCAACATTTTCTTCCCCAGCCATGGGTTAATTAGTAACACTTGTATCGCTAAATCATTATCTCCAAAAAGAAATCTTACATTAAATTAATATTTACAAAAAAAAGACGTAAAAAATGAACCAATCAATCTATTCTGTATCTATCTATCTCAATCTATTCAATGTCTATCTATCTATCTATCTATCTATCTGTTTGTCTGTTCATATCTATCTATCTATCTATCTATCTATCTATCTATCTATCTATCAGTCTATTCAATATCTCTATCTGAGTTTGTTCATATCTCTATCTATCTATCTGAATTTATTCATCATATCTATCTATTCATCTATCTATTCATCTATCTCAGTCTGTTCATATCTATCTATCTATCTATCTATCTATCTATCTATCTATCTATCTATCATGCTTTCTTAGTGACCACTTTAAGTACATATCGCCATCTGTTGGTGTTTAAGCATGAGGTTTCCAATACAGAATATCAAATTAATTAGACCCACGCCGCAACATAATCTTTCTACTCGTCTCTATTTGAACTTGTGTCATACTCGACTAAAATTAATCAAGCAATCGTTCCAGATGACTGAGGTAATGTGAATGTCATTTGGGCTTTAGCAATCGTCTTTCGACATTACCATGAGTTTCGTCTGTGATATCAATTAGTCACTCTAAATATTTGATAGAAACAAATCGCCTTTCGTTTACCGCTATAGAACAATAAGCCAATGGGCCCAATGCATCTTTGGAAGGAATGAAAATCTGTCACCTGCGTCTGAAGCCATTACGCTTTCTTCGATTAGAACGCTCATTTTCCATACCTGGCGCTATACAATCTATCTATCACATTCCCTTCATGTCAATCTATCTATTTCAGTTTGTTCATATCTATCCATCTCAATTTGTTCATATCTATCTATCTATCTATCTCAATTTGTTCACATCTATCTATCTATCTATCTATCTATCTATCTATCTATCTATTTCAGTCTGTTCATATCTATCTCAATATGTTCATATGTATCTCAGTCTGTTCATATTCTATCTATCTATCTATCTATCTATCTATCTATCTATCTATCTATCTATCTATGTCAATCTGTTTATATCTATCTATCTCAGTTTGATCATATTTATCTCAATCTGTTCATATCTATCTATCGATTTCAGTCGGCTGATATCTATATATCTATCTATCTCCATCTGTTTACATCTATCTATCTCAATGTGTTCATATTTATTTATCTCAATCTGTTCATATCTATCTATAGTGATTTTCCAAGCGTAGTTGGATGTGGCACAAGGCCGAAAGTAAGGGGCACCCAGTGAGGAGTGTTCATATCTATCTATCTCAGTCTGTTCATATCTATCTATCGATTTCAGTCGGCTCATATCTATCTATCTATCTATCTATCTATCTATCTATCTATCTATCTATCTATCTCCGTCTCTTCGTATCCGTATCTATCTCATTCTGTTACCATCTAAATATTTATTTTTATTATTTACATTCGGACTAATTTCCATATGTTTGTAGTTATTATCATATGGTTTCTGCCATTGTGTTCTCCGGGCTTCTTCTTCTGTCTATCCGGGTTCACTTTTATTTAATCAATAGAATCGATCTCGTCCTGCTGCCCAAATCTCGCGATATTTCGTACTATTGGGTTATTTTTCTTGCCTTCAATTTTAGTCTGTACTACTCAGCCCAGGGATTGAACGCATAATTACGATGCATCCAAAAAGTCCGAATGTATCTGATTTAAATAATGATAGTCCCTCATCCCAGAAATTCAGACATAATTTACCTGTTATTTTGTTTTACCTGGATCAAGTTAAATATACATTCTATGATTATCTTTATTGATTTATGTATCAAGTGATTGAATACAATATTCTAGCTATCCAGCGATTAAGCCATCGACAGAAGTCTTACATTTTTGTCTCCATATATGAACAAAGGTCATTTACTTGCAGCAGTTGACTACCTCGGGTTTCGAGAAAAATATTCAAGTTGATAAGTTTTAAGTTTTAAAAAAATTCTAAACATATATAATGTAAAATACACCAAAATCCTTACACCCTAAAAATCTTTTGCATCACTTCTGAAATATATATATATATATAATTCGCTTGAAAATTAAACAGAACTAGTGCTTTTAATTTAATTAAATAATTGAATTTGAAGTTGTTTGTTTCTGTTTTTGAAACATGGTAATTCCTGTGTAGCGAAGGCACCATATTTTAAAATCAGTTAATTTATAATATTTATGCTCTGTAAATTTACATCAAGCACTGTTTGGTAAAAATAAAAATATCGATAAGAACACCAGATTATATATCTTACTTTTCTTTTTTTTTTTTATATATATATATATATATATATATATATATATATATATATATATATATATATATATATATATATATATATACCGTTATATTTTTTTATTTAATTTTTCTTGTGTTCTTATAATTTTTTCTTTTCTGAACATAAATTATGTAAAAATTGTCCAAATGTTTTGTATGACCGAGCGCTTTCGGTTTTACTTTTAGCCATTATCAAGGATGGTTTTATTTTTACTTTTAACTGAATGTATGGATGTTCTATGTATATATCTAGAGATATGTTTTATTTTCAAGAAAAAAAAGGAAATAAGAACACAAGAAAATTTAATAAAATCTTAATCGCAGTACCTTTTCAGTTGTTTTTAACGAAACTTGTATAAAAGAGGTACCGCTGCCCAAATACACAATATATATATATATATATATATATATATATATATATATATATATATATATATATATATATATATATATATATATATTATTTATATTCCTTTTTTAAGTTTATAATAATACTCTATTTCAGATTATTTTAAGTAATTGTTAAGACATATAAGAAATAATATTTTTTTCATTTACTCATTAACAGCGATGTTTCACGTTTGGTGATTTTTCAAAATAGGTATGTGTTTATTAATAACGCTATGGTCTATGATTCTATTCACGTTACACTTTACACTTTACACACACGTTACACTTTACACACACACACACGTACACACACACACATATATACATACATACATACATATATATATATATATATATATATATATATATATATATATATATATATATATAATGAAATGGACTAAGTCCGACAATTATTTTAATATATTTTCTGTTTATACGTTGTTTTTATAGATAGAAATATTTACGTAAATACTCTGTTTATAAAAACAGTAATTTGACCATGCTAACCGGACGCTTCCTCTGTAGCTAAATAGTATAGCACGTCGGTTTATATGAGGGATCCGTGTAGGATGCAGTTTCGATTCCTGCCGGAGGACACATGTTTTCTCTGACATTCTGTCAGGAAAAGTTTGTCAATAGTGTATATTATAAACAGACCATTTACTTAAATATTTGTATATATATATATATGTGTGTGTGTGTGTGTGTGTGCGTGTGTATATAAGCCAACACCCAGAGACGACAGTCAGTTTCATACTAAACGCAATCGTCAGGCCATCGATGGTCTGACAATTTTGCTTAGCATGAAACATACTGTCACCTCTTGGTGTTGACTTAAACGTACACTTTTATATTTACATATGCTGTATCCCTGATATTGGGCACTTTAATCCATAAATATAGCATACCTTAAAACTATACTTTTATTATATTTGCATATATGTATATATATATATATGTGTGTGTGTGTGTGTGTGTGCGTGTGTGTGTGTGTCTGTGTGTTTGATAGATAGATTTTAATGTTTACTCAATTAATTAATAAATGTCCAAATGACTTATCACTTGATTGACTCCAAATTGTTTGAAATTCAGAGTCTATGATTCCCGTTTCTTTCTTAGACCATAAATACATCTAGTAATAATTCAGTAAATTTTTCCGACCCTGTGACAAAAATGAGAGGTGATAGGCAAAACTTTAGGGTCTGTTAAGAGATAAATCGCTTGACACATTTATTATTTACGTTATTGTCACCCTGGTTAATTATTGGGTATTTTTTGGCAGAAATTCTACCGGTCTTAAAATATGCTTATATTCTAAGATTTTTTTACGTATTTTGATATTATTTATGGATTAGTATTGTTGGAGTTACCTCCTCCTTCTGTCCTTGAACCAGCAGAGGAACAGGTCTTTTCGACCTTGACCTCTCATTCATACTCATACACACTGTTAACACGTCAGAGGACTAGCAAATCCCTTTTAGTTAGGCTATATTACAAACCTAGTTGTAATATACTTCTAGTCATTTTTAGACATTAGTTATCTTTGGCTAACCTTGTAGTATTTTACTATAGAGACTTTTCGGTTAGCTTAGCCAATTTCCCTTGCTGGTCCCCCGCGTCACAAGACAGTGATTTCTCCCAAGCTTTGGGGAGGCTGTCGGCGGCCGCAACGGTCGTCTACGCAGGTCCCTTGGCCTTCATTGGCCAAGGGCGCCGATCTACGGGCTGTGTATTGTTACGCCCCATTTCTTTTTGTCTGCCAACTTGACGATAGTTGAACTTTCTCTCTCTCTTCCTTCCCAACACGTCAAGTTGGCATCCAGGCAATGACAAACAACGTTGGCAACACGAACTGCTGCAACAAGTTGGCACCCCGGCAACGACTCAGCTTCAACAACCAACAAAGATCATCCTGGCATCACCAAGCGATCATCCTGGCAACAACCCACATCAGCTTCAACCCCCAACAACGATGATCCCAGCAACTGCCAACCTCGACCATCAATGCCTGCACTAAAACTTCTGCAGTATCCAGAACTCCTGCATCATCCGGCTCACTCCTGCAGTATCCAGAACTCCTGCAGTATCCAGCACTCCTGCAGCTTCCAGCACCTCCACCGTTTCCGACCATCTTCATTTCCTTTTCCTTTTAGAATAAACCTCTATATATCATATATATCCTCGTTCTGTCGTCCATATTGTTTCACGGTCAGATTTAAAGTCTTCAAAAATGTTAGCGGGCCTCTTGTGACCTCGTTCACCCCTTTCCGTGATACGGGGCCACTGGACCGCCCGCTACAGTATTATTATTTTAATTACTTTCTTATTTCTTATTCATTTATTGTAATTCTAATGAAATAATTTTGCGCATAATATAAAGAGTTTCTATATGTGTATATCAGTGTATTATGCTATAGATAGAAATATAGAAAGAGAGATAAATAGTTATAAACCAAACACACGTATTTACAGATACACATATATACATCTTCACATACTTACATTTGTGCGTGTGCATATGTATGTGTGTATGTATGTGTGTGTATGTGTGCGTTTGTGTGTGTATTCAGACGGTTAAACAGAATGATGGAACTATTGAATTAGTAAACAAAGGTTCGTCATTATTTGTAAAAACAAAAATGCAAAATAATTGAATCGCAACAATGTAAATTATATACTTGTATATATATATATATATATATATATATATATATATATATATATATATATATAAAGCAAATATGTGGATATAGATCCGACAGTATGAAGAAAAATATGTTTAAATTACCGAGGCGAATATCTCGTTTATGTTCGAAAACGCAAGATTTCACGGATCTACATGTTTCACCCACATATTTTAAGTCACAGTTGTTGCATGATAATTTAAAAAATGCTTTATTTGTACACATAACTAAATCTGATCATAATTTCGATTTTGATTCTGTGAAGATTTTAAAATATATTCATAATAAAAATCTTTGACGGATTTATGAGGCATGCATATTCTTTAATATGTCCCCTTTTCTGGCAAGATTATTGTTGCACAAACGTACTTATAAATTTTAGATTAAAATAAAATTCTTTTTCTTTTAAAATATACTCTATTTTAGGAATAGGTTTTCACAACATCGCCCACGTGACGCCAACGTGATCGTATTGCGATACGAAACGCTGATCTTAAACATTTCAGTTATTCTGTTTTGATTAATCTTATTATGACTATCGTCTTTTCATGTTGACTTGAATATCGTCGAATTTTAATTACGTTTTAATAACTATGTCCTGAAGAAGGTCTTACTAGACCGAAACGTCTGACGTCGACGTCGACATTGAAACAACATTAAAACAGCATACTTGCAGATTCGGATTTTTTTTTTTTTCCATATATTTTTTATATATATATATATATATATATATATATATATATATATATATATATTGTTATCCACAGACAGACTGTTTCGCTGTATCACAGCTCATCCGTGTGGCTAGACGTCCGGTTGCCTCTAGCTAGATCGAAACTAGACTGAATTGGTTTCAGTCGGGGATTCCACCGCTAAGTCGTTGGTGCACGGCAGGGGTGAAGGTGAATTTAAGCGTATTTATATATATAGGCCGGTAGACGAAAATGATTATGAAATTACAGTTGATTTGGCTAGATGTGACCGTAAGTTCTATGCTAATAGTTTCT